GAGATGAGATAATGGTATTAACAAAGGTTTGTCAATTGTAATTACCTTGGCAGCAATAAGACCCTCCTTTAAAGCACTCTTAAGCTTCCTTAGGCTCATGTTAGTGAGGGCGACGTTTTGCTTTGCGCACTCTTCATTCTTCTCCTCAGTGATGGTGAACTTGTGCAGTGTCTTGACGATGGTCTCGGCGTGCTGAGAAACCTCACTGCCCTCGCTGGATTCTTCAAGTTCTTCGATGATGACAGAGTCAACAGTCTTGGCTTCAAGTTCTTCAAGACCCTCCTTCAAAGCACTTTTAAGCTTCCTTAAGCTCATGTTAGTGGTGGCAGAGTCAGCAGTCTTGGCTGCAGATGAGGCAGGAGTAGCATGGATTGCCTCAAGCGCCACCTGAGAGCTGTGGCTTTCAGTTTCAGCATCACTGAATTCAACATCGTCAAACTCTGATGACAGATCAGCGCTGAAATCATCTTCCTCTCCACTCTCCTCATTTTTTTTAGGCTCTTCAACTGTCTCCGGCATCTTGAGATCCTCCTCTTCTTCATTAGAATCAAAGTTAGCTTCAGTGGAGTCGTTAGCCTTCTGCATATCCTCATCCTCGAGGTTCTCCTCTTCATCAGAATAAAAGTTCACAACAGCAGAGTCGCTCACCTTCTGCATATCCTCCTCCTCGAGGGAATCCTCCTCGCTGCTGTACTCACTGAGGTCATCCTCCTCGCTGCTGTACTCACTGAGGTCATCCTCCTCGCTGCTGTACTCACTGAGGTCATCCTCCTCGCTGCTGTACTCACTGAGGTCATCCTCCTCACTGCCCACTCCATTGAAGTCACTCTCCTCTTCTGTCAGATCACTCTTCGGCGAATCATCAGCAGCGACTTCCTTCTCTGTAACAGCAGCTGGGATCATCTTGGTAGGAGCATCAGCAGTCTCAACAGTGGAACTGAAAGCATTTTCCTTAATATCATCAGCAGCAACATCCTTCTCGGTCACCGCAGCTGGTGTCATCTTGTTAGGAGCATCAGGAGTCTTAATGGTGGAATGGAGAGCATCTTCCTTGAAATCAGCAGCAGCAACTTCCTTCTCTGTCACAGCAGCTGGGGTCATCTCGTTGAGAGCATCAGAAGCCTTAACAGTGGAATTGAAAGCATCTTCCTGGAAATCATCAGCAGAAACTTCCTTCTCTGTCACAGCAGCTGGGGTCATCTTCTCGTTAAGAGCATCAGAAGCCTCAACGGTGGAATTGAAAGCATCTTCCTTCAAATCATCACCAGCGACTTCCTTCTCTGTCACAGCAGGTGGGATCATCTTGTTAGGGACATCAGATGCCTCAGCGGTGGAACTGAAATCGTCTTCGTTGATGGCTTCCTTTGGCACTTCAACAGCAGCTACTTCCTTTTCTTCACTGGCACTGTTGATCTCATCAACTATCTCGAACACAGGTGACCATTTGCTGCTTTCACCATCTTCAGTTGAGGCACCTTCAACGTTCTTGATAGCTAGTTCAGGTGTGGCCTTGGAAAGGACACCTAAGATAGGTGAATCCTCCATTGCGGACAAGGGAACAGACTTCTCAGCACTGGCAAGCTTCTGTTCTTCCTCAACTGCAGCTTCTGATGCATCATGGTTCATAATTAGCAAATGGAATCAACAGATAAAGGACAAAATTTATAAAATACAAAAGCAATGACATGGGTGGATTTTGGGATGCTACAGTTAAGTCATATTGGCTACAGATAAAGCAAGGAACAAATGGATACATTTCAGAGTCGCTATAGATGAACATGAAGTTTGAAATGAAACATTTTAGTCCTAAGGCAACAATCCAGAGTACTAATGAGTACATATAAACAAGTAACATATGAATGAAATTTGAAATGTAAATCTAGACCGAGTACAAATAACACAGGAATAAATGGATAGATTTTTAACTGCCACAGCCTAGAGTTTAAAAACAAATGGATAGTACATTTCAGAAAGCTCTTGATAAGACAGACAAACAGATGAAGGTTTGAAATGAAGCATTTCAGTCCAAATGAACAATCCAGAGTGCTAATCAGTACTACAGATAAACAAGAACCAGATGAATGAATGTCAAAATGCAAATCTATATGCCTAAACAGTACAGATAAGCCGAGAAACAAATTGATGAATTTTAAAATGCCACAGTCTAGAGTCTTAATCAAGGATTGGCTGAAAGGACTCTGAAGCATCGGTGATGTGAACCATCTCACCTTCCTGGAGCTTGGTAGCCTCTTCCACAACTTCCTCCAGCTTAGAATCTTCACAGCTCTTGTCAGCAGATTCAGTGGGCACAACAGAAGAAACCACTGCACAATCAGGAAGCCGAATCAGTAACTATTCTCAAACAATACAGAAACCAACTTATAACAGGCACATAATTCTAGTAGTAACCAGAATCAGTAAAATAATCACCTTCATCTCCCTGCTCAGGTTCATCCGCTTTGCTGTTTCCTTCTTCCGGAAGCTTTGTAACTTCCTCCTCCTCCTCCTCAGGATCATCGCACTTCTCATCAGAAGTAACGCCTGCATGATCACAATGTTCGCATAAAAAAACTGCCCCCATGCAATCGAACAATCAAACATAGTGATTAAGGTTAGGAAATCACTCTCACCCTTGGGCTCTGCTTCATGCACCTTCTCCTCCTTGAGTTCGGTCGAATCCGCTTCTTCCTGGTCCAAATCAAACATCGCCTTCGATCTCGCCGTCTTCCTAGTCGATCTCTTTGTGGTGGACACCTCGACCTCCATGGCCTTCTCGGTCTTCTTAATCGACCTCTGGCTCCTCCGCAGAGTGCCCGCCGCGGGAGTCGGGGGGAGGGGCGCGGGCGTGGCCCGCGGGCGGCGGCTGGTGCTGCGCAGCGCGACGCCAGGGGTGCGCACGATCTCCTTGACGAGATTCCGCTTCACCTCGTCCTCGCCCTCCTCGACTTCCATCCGGATGGCCTCGGGCGACTTGACCGAGACGCGGCGGCCGCGCGGGAGCGGGCTTCCTAGATGCTGCTGGTCCTCCCCGGCCGCCGGCGCGGCCTTGAGGACCGACTTCATCGCCGACTTGCCCGGGGTCGGGAGGCAGAGCGTGGTGCCGATCTGGTCGATCCCATCCACCTAATAATCCACAGCAAAAACCCGCATCAAACGGCCATCCCCACGCCCAAATTCATCCCCACCCTAACGAGTCCCGCAACGAACCATCCGCATCTCAAAAACAACAACGCGAATCGGAAGGGGGAAGCCGAGGAGGGAGGGCGCGTTACCGCGGCGAGGGACTGGAGGGCCTCGACCATGGCGAGGTTGGTCATGTTGGCGCGGACGCCGTTGAGCTTGCAGAGCGCCTGGAGCTCGCGGCGCGAGAGGGCGTTGAAGTCCATGTCCGCCGCCGCCGTCTGCATCTCCATCTCCATCGCTCCCGTCTCCTGTCTCTCACCTACCTACCTCCTCCTCCCGTGGCGCGGCGGATGGATTTGCTCGTGGATGGCGAAATGAATGCTGAGATGCGGCGGGGCTAATCGGGGGGCGAGGGGTTATATAGGAGCGCGCGTTCGGGGAGGGCTTTATGACCGTTGGGGGCGAGGCGGCGCTCCGCTCGCCTGCCTAGGGTTTGCCCTCTGCCCTTCCTTTTTGAATGTTTGAACAGGGGCCAGGCCAGATCGCGTGGCGGCTCCGCGGGGCTCCGCGTACCCTCTAGGCTAGGCTGTCCCCAGTCACGTCGCTGCGCGCGGGCCCGGGCGGGAGACGCCGTGCGAGTGAGCGACGGGACACGCTGTCACACAGATCTGATTGTTCCCGGTTTTGACCAGTCTCGCTGCCGCGTGGGTCCCGGGACAGCGTGAGGTGTAGACGCGCCTCGCTTTGCGAGTTTGGAAGGCGTTGATTGATTCCGGGGGCTGTGGCTGGATCCTTCGAGGCTTCCCGATTTTGCCATAAATGGAGATCGTTTTTGCTTCGTTGGTCATCACATTATTGCCGAGCCAATAGAAACCTCATCGATTTTCACTGAGACCGGGTGAGAGTTTCCGTGTGGAACGAAACTGTTTCCCTTGTTGCTGGGGTGTGTGTGAAAAGGAACGGGTTTGCTTGCGGCACAAAAAAGAGTTAAAAATCAACGAGTCTCTATTTTGAACATTCTAGTTTTCTCCCTC